TTTTTTTTTAGGTTTTATATATACATTTGAATAACTAAAAATCATAAATTACTACAACAATATCCTAGAATTCAACTATAATTTATCAAGCTTAGTAACTAAGATGTATTTTACTCTTAAAAAAATATGAAATTTGGAGCAGACTAAAGACACAATCTACCTCATTGAAATCTTGGTTCAAAAGAAAGAAATGGTGCTAACCATATTAGAAAAGCTAAGAAGGCCACTATGGGGACATTCTGATCTTCTGATTGGTTATTCATGTCGTATATAGAAGTGTATATAAGAGAGCATTTCCAAAAATGGAAAGGGGCGGGTGGGGTGCCACTGTGTCTGATTTATTACATGGGCAATATCTTAGCAAATAGAAAAGATAAGAAACTTCTTATTTGATATTCTAACTTGTCAATATCCGTAATTTGAGTTTCTAATTCATACGAAACTTTTGACTTCATGAACATCTAATTTGATCCAGTGCTGCATTCAACAAACCACATGACACACAAAAATCGACACTTATCTATTGTTTTTTTTTAATATTTACTTTTAGAATAAGAAATTGTGTAAGGTATATTACTAAAATTTGAATTATAGTCTACACTTTGATACCACACTTATTGACATAACTTCATGAAATAGTTGGTCAATAAAATTTTGAATGCGAGTCAACAAACGAGATGATATGGTCTTTCGCCTACATGCCGTCTTGAAAGGGTTAACGGGGATTTTTTCCCCACAGTTAGTAATTACTTGCTTCTTTAAATTGTAATTTTTTTGTCATTGCCTTACTTCTTACAAAGAACACCACTGTGTAGATACATAACCTTCTATTTTTAACATTATGGAGACCACACCATGTTTGTATACATTTGATTTTTTTTTTAAAGGAATAAGAAGTATTTGATTCTTAAAGATATTAATCCCAGAGTAATGATGACTTTAAATATTCTATTTTTGTGATTATAATTTTTTTAAATATAGACAGATGCAACATTCACCATCCTTCTAGTTCCCAGAGAAGAAATGGACAGAAACCAGAGCTTATGTCAAGGAAACGAAAATCAGAAGCTAGTGAAGGTACATAGTCAAAAATGTTTAACATATGAATTGATTTCTGGTTAAAGATAATTAAATGTCATGATGATAAGAGTGAGAACTATGATTGAAAGAAGAAGTACAATAAAAGTAACAAATCGTAGCTGGATTGTGTTTGTCTTCTTTTAAATTACATTTATTAGTTTAGTTGTTTGAGTGATTGTTATTAAAATATTATGAAGATCAGAAACTCTAAAAATGTATATAATACAATAGGTTTAGGTGAAAAGAAAACTTTCAATGCAAATATATGGAACTAAAGAGCCGAATGGTATCAATATAATCTTGTTTTAAATTACTAAAACCAATTTATAAAGTTTAGTAGATGGATGCAGCATTTTTCCATTCACTGTGTAGTGAATTCTCAAAACTTGAACCAGTTTGTCTATTGAACTTCAGTTGACTAGTAAATTAGTCTAATGATCACATAAATGAAAATATATATAGCGGCCGTTTTCTTTTCTAGATGGCACCAGCAATTCTCGTAGCCGTAACAGTGTTACAAATACTGAAGAAGGGCTTCTAAACTTCAGAGCTTGTGACAACATCATATTTGAACTGATTCGCCACCCAGAAAGCTGGCCCTTCCTCCGTCCAGTCAGTCGTAATAAGGTGACTAAAACTTTTCTTGTGTATTACACGACTAATGACCACCCTTACATTTATAACAGTGACTAGGAAAGGGATATTATGTGCTACATATTTGATTTCATGATTTCCTCTCGTGTAGGGAAGTGAACTGCGCCAGGGTAGTAAGGTATTGTTAGTTTACACTGTGATTGATCCTAGTCCAACCAATCAGTTTGTGCCACCCTATAAAAGTACAGGCTGTAATAGTATTCCCAGTAGTAGTGTGATTAATGCACTAATAGCTACCAGTACAGAAATGCCACATAATAAACATCTAGAAATTAAGATGGCTAGTGAAAGATTAAACTTTCATGTTTCAGTAGGAGCATTCAGAACAGGGTTTGTGAAAATAATACTGTTGATAATAGAAATAATCAAAAGCTACTCAATGTAACTTTAGGTATGCTTTACTCACACAACATTCTTGTAGGGTTCATTCACTTATCTAGCTCTAAGTAAAGGTGTGAACATTATCTTGAGAACAGTAGGGTACATTAGCATGAAGTGGCCTCGGTGGATGTGTTATTGCTCAAAAGTCGCTGCTTAAATAACCAAACCAAAATGTTAGAATGGGCACTATAAACAATGGGATGAACAAAGCTGGAAGAGGTTTTACTTACAGATGGATCCAAATTTAAGCTTGGCAACAATGTACAATATCTACAGTGAAGGATGCTTGGGGAGGGTGAAAGATTTTATATTTTCTGTAATATTGTCCTGATAATAAAGGAACCATTTAGTTGCAATTACTCATTGTTAGTGACTCCTTATATGTGTACCACCTGTGTTTTCAAGAATTCACAATTTATATTCAACTGAGAAACTTAAGAGCATTTGCAATATACCAACATTGTTGTTTTTAGTATATGTATCCAGAAAAAGTTTATGAATTCTCAATAGATAGCATATTATAGTTTTTGTATTAATTACTGGAAAACTTTTTTAATATCATAAATCCAAAAATTTCTTCTTTTTTTTTTAGGTCTCTGACTATTACACTATCATACAAAATCCAATGGATTTTGGAACCATCAAGACTAAACTGGATGACTTAAAATATAGAGCAAATAAGGAATTTATTGCAGACGTTAACTTGGTGTTTCAAAACTGTGAATGTTACAATGAAAGAGATTCAGAGACTTATCAGGCTGGCGTTGAATTGTCTAAACTGTTCCATTCACTCTTAAAACAGTATTATTTGGAAAACTCTCAAGAAATAAGTACTTTTGAACCGTTAGGTATAAAACAACGAAAGACTAGAAGAATCACTTCTTAGTGATATAAAATATATATAGATGTTTGTGTTTCTTGTGTTCACAAGTCTGTGTAATAATTGCTCATCAGGAACGTATTGTTCTTTTACAAAAATGATTATGTATCTGGCTAACGTAATGTTAATGATACAGTAGGGTTATATATTTTTGTAAAGAAGACTATAGCAATATGATTCATATACATTTTGTTTAATTCAGAAATCTTAGTAATTGTGCTCTGTATGAGTCTTATTTAAGTTCCAGCTGTATTCGTTTTTGTATTAACCATATTAAAGTTTTTTCAAAATACTAGATTCCACATTATTTTTTTGGACCACTGAACTCCTGCGAATACAACAATATTGAGTATGAAGATCAAATTTCTATTAAAACTGCACCTACACATACAATAATAAGGGATAAGTACATCCAAAGTAAATGTAGATTATTCCAAAACATAGTATTGTTGGTAATTACATCATAACTATATATAATTTAGTTCATTTCTGTGGTTATAAAACATGCAAGTACATTATCAATGGATGTGTTTGATAGTGGATTCTGGATCTACTTTTGTGTTTATTAATGTTGTTTTGTCATATTTTTGGTTGTCGGCTTGCCTGATGTTTAGAGTTCTCATTTCACAATCTACAGGTTCAAATCTCTGTCACTAAACATATCCACATTTTGAACCATGGGTGCATTATAATGCAATGGTCAATTCCATTATATGTTGGTAAAAAGAGTTGGTGATAGGTATTGTTGACTAGGTGCTTTCTCTTTAGTCTCTCATTGCTAAATTAGGGGTGGCTAACACCGATAGCCTTCATAAGCTTTACCCAAAATTCAAAATAAACAAAACTGGTTCTTATGATGTTTTCTGTTTGCAAGTTTTGTGGATTTATGGTAGTACAAAACCAGTGGTATTTTTTCTTTAGTAGTTTTTCAACTTTACATTTTTGATTCATTCAGAAGTGGCTTGATGAAAGTTTTATAAATTTAGCTTGTATCTCAAGCATGTCGATGTAACTAATTCAACAAATTCAATTATGTATCTGGTGTTAATATTTGTGCAAGTAAAATTTCGTCGTTTTCTTTAATAAATACACAAAATATATAATTTTGGCAATTTTTTTTTATTTGCTTTGATTAGATAGTGGCCATTTCTTACACGATGCTTACAAGTCGTTAGAATGTTAATTCCATGCATGATCATTACATGTATATCCATTTCAAGAAGTTTCGTTCAAACAATAGGAACTAAAACTGTGTGGCCAGTAGTGATGAGTGTAAGAAACTTCTCAGTGAATATATGTCGAAAGTAACGTCCTGATTAAGCATTTCGATTTGTGATGCAAGGGACAAATGACGCTTTTAAAAACAGCTACCGTAGTAGTGTCAGATAAAACTTGACCATTACTGGTAAAAATCCGATAGTAATACAGTCTAGACAAAAAAATGACCTATTATACGGGATAAGGGCCATCTGTGCATAGTCGTCTGTAGTTTTGAACTGACAGACTAGACGAAAGGAAGCTAAAAGACCTTTGTCATGTCCAGGCTGTTAGACCACTTGACTCGCAATCTGCATGCTCGGCCTTTCAGCCGTGGCGGCGTTATAATGTAACGCTCAATGCCACTACTCGTTGGTAAAGCTGACGGTGGCTGGTGATGACTAGCTGCCTTCCCTCTAGTCTTACACTGCTAAATTAGGGACGGCTAACGCAGATAGTCCTTATGTAGCTTTGCGGGACATTAAAATCAAACCAAATATATTATTTTTATAATAATAGGTTATATGTATTGTGTAGTTTGCGCTATTTAAATGGTTATTAAATAATATAAGAAATAAGGGCAAATGCTCCCAAAATACAGATTTTTTTTACATTTTATCCTTTAAAAGTGCCTAACTGCCTTCAACTTACAATAAAAGTTGCCTCCCAATATTGAAATCATAAGTTATTGGGCACGTTCCCATTGGCAGATAAACGATGAATGTGGGACTGTGTGTGAGGGCATATCTCCACAAATACATACGAGTGAGTAAAAAAAGTGAACATGCGAAAATGAATCAATTTCATGCATTATTACAGCTTACCGGGAGGTTCCCTTTTATGACATAAAAATCAGCAGAAATGGCCACCACTTATAACAGGCTCAAAACGTCTCTGAGGGGGGGCCACGTTAAGCACAAACAATCTTTAGAATATATTTCTTTTAATTTTAAGGTAACTTGCATTAAAAATACAGTTCTTTGAGGTTAGACTTTTTTTTTTGATATACCAGTTATAAATTCTAATTACTCAACAGGAATTTAATTCACGCTAAGCTTCTAGCTATGAGAACAAAATGTGCTTGGTATTACTATTATTACACAATACGTTACTCTATGTTTAAACATTGAGCTGATATCTGTAATAACAAATTAGGATGAAAATAAACAGTTTATAAAAATTGAAGCTTTATACAAGTATTTATATTTACATTCATCGTAAAAATCTCGCGTTCCAAATAAAACACTTTATTAAATCTTTATAATAGATAAATTATTTTGAGCGTTACCTAATACCTTAAAAGCGTTCGGTTTTAAAATATCTATTTTCTCCTAACCATTGTCATTAAGTAGTTTCAAACTTCTCGCTTCCATAATCTACTGTCATGACGATACAGTTGTTCGTATAATGGTAATCTGGGTTATGCTTTCCTTGTTAGTTAACCACTGCGACGTTTTCACATTTACTTAGTTTAACCTTTTAACAGTACCATAAAATCAGTGATAAATGCTTGCTTTCAGCTACTATACAGTAAACACCTTAATTTTAAAGTCTCGTTTTTCAAGGTGGCGACCTCAACTCTGAGCTTCAAGTTTTCTTGTTCTAAGTATGCTGCCCTGATGGCAATTTCATCTTCTTTAGCTCTTCTAGAATCTCTCGATCTTTTGGCAGCTTCATTATTTTTTTTTCTCCTTTCCCAGTATGCTTCATCTTTTTTATCGTCAGTCAGAGACTGACTTCTCTTCCGGAAGGTAAATAGGCTGAGAGGCGTTGTTGACTGGCTATTTTCACTTGAAACTGGGGAATCGGTTGCTGCTATTTTATCGCTGTCTTTGAAGCTATCATTGGAGCTACCATCGACCGTTCTACTTAGAAGAGGCGCTGAGTTTGTACATACAGATGTAGAAATAGTCGTAGTGTGTGTTGTAGTTTCTGATGTGGGGGTCAACACTGCAGAAAAAGTTGACTCACTTGTAGCAACTTTAGAAGTACAGTTCAAGGATTCTGAGGCAGTACAGACTCTAACGGAGTCAGTAGTTGTTCTTTGGTCACTGTTGTCCTTTCTTAAACACTGTTGCCGGGACCCTGATCTACGAGTTTCCTGCGTCTTCTTCATTGCCATCAGCATGTGCTCTCTGAAGTCAAGGTAAGCTTGATCCGAAGCGTTGGGCAGAAAACTTCTTGCAGTTATAGCATCAACAGTCAATGGAAACTGGACAGGATAGTTATAATATCCTTGTAGTGGGTCGTTAGGATAAGCCTTGAACGGTCTAATATATTTGTCCGTTTTTCTGGATTCCGCCACCGTGTTGGGTTGGATTGAAGGAATAGTTGTGTGCAAACGATTAATTACACAATCTTTATCTGGTGACCCATCAAGTTTGGGGCTTAGCTCAACTTCAGAAGGAAACAGACTGTTCGAGGTAGAGGATTGCCCCAAATTTCGTTTTCCACTGAGCGTGGAAGGGGATGATAGAAATAATCCTTGGGCATGATCTGTTTTGGCGGTAAAAGGAACAAACGATTCGGACGTCTCTAACTGCTCGACTGCTTCATTATGGTGTGTTGGAGACAGTGTGAAATTTCGTTCTCGAACTTCAACTGACGGTTCAATGGGGCTTCTAGACTTCTTTGAGAAGTCCAACGGCTGATCGTGCTCCGCAACCCTGTGAAAACCGTCTCTCGACGCTAAATAAGGAATCAAGTAGCCGTCAGGTATTCCGTAATCTGCAGTCACCAGAGGCGGAAACGTCGGAACAGGGTCCGTGTTTGCCATGAGAGTCGTACTGGAGTTGGCTGTGACGGCAGAATGGGCGGTACGGTCTAGCTGGAAAATATGAATAGTCGGCATTTGTCACATTTACTGTCAAGTCTTACAAGTAATAAAACTATAGCTTATGAGCCAAACACTATACACATGTATCTGTATATCCGGTTGTACGCACTTATACCATGTTAGTATTGTATTTTCATCGACCTACGTGTCGCACAACACGTCATGTTATTTTCCACGCCTTAAATAAGTGAAATTTGTTCACTGTTTCACGATAGTCCTTGTAAGTTTTTAGCCCGAGTCTTCATTATGCCCCTCCCATCTCGTGGCACGTCGGGATCGATTGTTACTTAAATCCCCGGAACAAGTATGTCGTATGCTGAGAATAGCAAGTTTTGTGATATAAACGAACGACGTTGTTTATCATTGTGACGAAAATCTATAATATAGCGTAAAAAAGTCAGTACATAGCGAAGTTCAATTTAAATAGCTCTTTATATAGGGGGCGCTGAGGGTAAAACATAAGTGGACTTCAGCGTTGAAATCTCACAACAAATAAACTATTATATACAAAAATGTCCAGTTCCATTAAAATGTTTAAAAAATTACACAAGTAGCATTCTAACTGCCCGAAATCTAATTAATAGACGCGCATGGAAGTTTTGATTGTTAACAAATGACCGAACTTAACCTTATCATGTTTGCATTTCACTATTTTAATAAACATTTACGAATTAACATTTCACAATACATGAAATCCCAAAATACATTGAAACAAACCGCCCTGCAAGTATTAACATGAGCATCTGCCCCCCCCCCCCCCGGAATTTAATTAGAAAATTTATTTGTATAATGTATTAGAAAATAATACTGTTTAAATATAAGGATATAAGTGACGAAATTAGATTTGAATAAATAAGCCATAGCATTGCATTCAAACTTCAAGGCAAATGGTCAGCGCACTTTGATGGCTAAACCTCGCCTGGAATAAATTTTGCTGACGCTCATGAGTATTAAACACAGTCAAGCTTAAACTACGATTAACAGGGAAAATAAGAATATACTTTTGCACGTGATTTAGGCCAGATATGTAGGAGGCGGATTACAAGTGGTTGGGGGGGGGGGAGTATTTGACCGAACGAAACGAGGGAATGTGCAACACAGGTTTACCCATTACGGCCAAGGTCCAAGGCTCGCCTTAGGACCCTGGAAGCTCTGGACTAAATGTTATAAATTTTCCGTCTTTTCCTGAAAGTAAATTTCCAAATTTAATGCATTTTTACCAAGACAGATTTAAAAGGTAGTGGGATTCTCCCCTGCTTCCTGTGCCACTGAATTATGCAAAATATTCATGACAAACAAAGGTGAAATGGGCAGCAACTGCCTAGTTCAGAGCGCCACTCGTAGAGAAAACTTTGGATTAATACAAACGTAGTTCAAGTGTAAAAGAACAAAAGGCGACGTCTTGAAATTATTTCGCCTTCAGGGACCTAACTGATCTACTTTTATAAATTAGACCGCCAAGCTTTTCTCTGGAATAAGCAGTTACTGCCAATCTCAGCTTTGCTGGCCATGATTATTTGAAGAGAGTATGATGGTGGTTAAAAAATATATAAAAACAACAATATAGGTCTCGCTTGTGAACACACCGTGTAATTTTATGTGATCTAACTGGCTAACTAACTTTTCTATTTTAGGTGATTGTTACGGGAAACTTGGACTAAGAATTATGTAAAATGACAAGTTTAAACCTATCCGTAAGAATGTGATTAACCCGAAGGATTCTCGGTAAAGCTGTCTCAGTAGTAATACTAAAGTGAATCAATGGACAAATTATTATTTGGCCCTTCTCTTCCGATTCAAAAATATCCAAAATTCATGTAATCTGTTCTAATCAACCAATCACATTGAATAGCGAGGTGTTGTCTCACAATAATGAATGCATATAAAGCAATCTATCTGACATCCTTATTGTCCATGTCTTTATAGCTTGTATAATGTAGTAAATGAATTTAGCTACAAACATTCGTCTTCAGCATATCGCTACCGACTTATGTTAAGATACTGCCTTCAAAAGGTGCTAACCACTACAAGAAGTGTCTTTACGTAATCAGATTTCAATATTTTAAAAGGGGTTGTGCGGATTGTAATTTTCGCATAAAATAAAACTTTATTACTAATATTTTCAGAGCTTGGGTCTTGTAATATATATAACAAGTCAACTTTTAAGGAAGCGTTTACAGATAAAAGTTACGTGAAACACAAGTAATAATTTGACACTTCTGGGGTAGATAAACATAGAACGATATTTAAGTTAGATACAACTTTTTTTTTACTTGTCTAAAGAAAACTGCCTGTGAAAAAATGAAAACAAACTTAAACTGATCGAAAATGTTTCATACCATAAAAAAAACATGGAAATGCTTAATCCTTAACTATGACTTGTATCATGTCACTTTGTGTAAGTCCTAAACACGAATGTGGGATCACAACTATGAGCCATTTACGGTACAATAAATTAAATCTAGAAGGGCTTAACAAAGCCTTGTATTATATCAGAGTGAGTAAATCCCGAAAAAATCATGCGTATGTCACACCAAATAAAACCTAATAGCTCAAGACGGAATAAAATTACAAGTACCTAAAATATTTTATAAAATAAACTGAACTGCTTTAGTTAGATTGAAATATGACCCCATTAGTATTTAGGTGACCAAACGCAGACTAAAAATTATGAAAAATTTAAACTTACCGTAACACTGTGATTAGTCCGAAAGAATCTCGGTAAAGCTGTATCAGTCGCAACGTATTACCACAGTGAATGGATGGACAAATTGTTATTTGGCCCTTCTTCTCTTCTGATTCGAAAATATGCAAAATTCACGTAATCTGTTCTAATCAACCAATCACATTGTAGCATTGGCCACTTGATCCGTTCTCTGTTATCGTCACACTTCCACGTGAGCATGTCGAGGAAGGGTTACCCTAAGGCCATGTGGGGTCATTTCAACCGTGCAAATCCACTTCCTCGATCTATGGTCTTTTTCTGTAGAACTCCAATTTCTTTCCTCTTGTCCTTTCTCATCTGTAAAGTGAGAGAGGAAACAGATCATCACCCACAGTTTTAATATAAACTAAGATTTAATGTTATGCGACTGAAAAAATTATTACCCCCCCCCCATAAACTTTTTTATTAAACGAGATTAAATCAAAGAAACGCTTAACTGCTGTGTTTATTATGATATCAATAATACTCTGAAAACAATTATAATGAATTATAGTAATTCTAATACTCTCCTGAGCACGATACGTTCAATGTCTCGAGAAAGAACGTCTTAATTCATAAACTAATGAATCTTTTCCTATCAGTTGGTTTTGTGTGAGCCCTGAATTAGCAGTAATGACGAAACGTTGGACAAAATAAATTATAGTTTATCTGGAGTAAATGGTCATTCGTCTTTTGTTTCTTATGCAAATGACAATATTCTTCAATAAGCACTACAAACTATAAACTAAGAAAATGTCAAATTAAGTTCATGCTTACGTTAACGACAGCATTTATCCATTGGTATTACATTATTTTGCCAACTTTTGAATATAAATATTTATATTAGTAAACAAAAAGTGTCTCTTGGAATAGAGGGAGTAAAGTTCAAGTTGAATAACTTTTTAAGTTTAAATACATTAAATTATACGAAAAATAAAACTGTCATCAATTCTTGAAGTGTATTGTTGTAAGGATAAATTTACAAAAGTTATTGAAGCCATTCAAGGCTTGGAGATATCAGGTTTATCCTTACCAATGTGTACACTTAGTCTGTTTTACGATTGTGATGTAATTATTTTAATTAAAATAACCGAGGAAGATGACTAACCAGCAGTATGTGAGATTTAAATACAAAGTGTAATGTGAAAAATTTAATCATAAAAGTAAACAGATGATTAAATAACGCGAACAACATCTAGGAAATTAACAAAACAAACAGATACATTTTTTCAAGACAAAGTGTGCTTCTCTTGTTGCAACATACGACACAAATTGTGCTTTCTTTTGTAAAGTGATAAATATGAAAGAATTAACAACAATCTTACAATAATCTACTGATGTCAAGTCAATTTAATCAATGAGTCATTATTAAAACTTGAAATCACTTCGTCTATAGTATACATTAACTACAAACTAAGCTACGCAATTAAATTTTATATTTATAATTTTTTTTTAGATTACATTAGAATAAATTAAAGAAACACTTTTAACCACTACGCTTATGTCCCACTTAAGTATGCTCTCTTGATGCTCAAGAAGCTAGGGTTATTAACTCGCACTGTCTGATTGGTTTACATCTCATTTCACTTTAATTTCAGCTCTATAAACTCAATACGAATAATAAACTTAGAGCGAATTAATGCATTTCTTGGTGTTAAATACTACAGATAAATCTAGGCGTGTCTACTTACCTATGTAAATATAAATGGTGTGCATGTAATTAATGTAGAGTATAGAATACAATTTAAAACTAATAATTTTGTTTTTGTAGTATTCTTCAAAGCATTACACTGCATTAGTATTAGTTTAAATATAAGCAATAAATACTGGAGTAACAAAAATGTTTAGACTAAAACTCAAAGGCATTCTGCCCACTTTAAATTGTTGTTGATATTACTGTTAGTGGTTTGGTTTATTCGGTATATATGCATGAACACGTGTATATATATACATATATATTCGTATATGTGCTTAAAGAAAAAACGTTTAAAATTAATTTTCACTTATTATGTTTTATCATTTCATTCTGTTCCACCTTTACTGTTTTACTCAGAATGTGTTTGCCCCCCAGTGGCACAACGGTATGTCTGCGAAATTACAACGCTAAAAACCGGGTTTCGATACTCGTGGTGGGCAGAGCACAGATAGCCCATTGTGTAGCTTTGTGCTTAATTACAAACAAAACCACAAAAAACCACAGAATGTGTTATTATATTGGGCAACAATGAAAGACTTGCGCGTGAACAAGCCGTGTAATTTTGTGTGATCTAACTGGCTTAATAACTGTTCTGTTTAAGGTGATTGTTACAGGAAAACGCTGGATGATAAACTAAACACTTACTAAACTACTGCATTAATAGGTTTCTGAAAAAATAACATAAAATCAGTCAACTGGTTTTATGCCGTACACTTATATTTTTACTACACGATCACCTCTTTCAACGAATAGTATAATCTTGCCGCCTCTTAGGACTATCCTGAAAATTCTCAACATTTATCTCAAGATATACAAAAGTCGTTTAAAACCGAGGGATATTCAGAGCAGAAATTAAAACATTTTTTTTACTCTTCCACCTCCATTAAAGCCCACAGTGGCAAGTCTGAAAACTTATAATGCTAAAAACCAGGTTTCAGTACCCATTGTAAGCA